TCTTGAAGCCATTGAATTAAAGCTGAAAGTCTACGCTTCAGTCACATCTTGATTGCTTCATTTCAAATCCATTGTGGTGGTGTACAGAGGCAAAATTACCAAAACTGTGTCACTGTCCAAATACTTATGGACCTGACTGTATATATATATATATATATATATATATATATATATATATATATATATATATATATATATATATATATATATATATATATATATATATATATAATGTATGTATGTATATTTTTGATGCATAGCACGTCGAATCCCATCCATGTCTCAGCCATGCCACGAAAAAAAAAAAAAATTTACAGTTCCACCAAATTGGCCGTGCTCTCTGGGTGGGAGGGATGGCATACTCTCTCTCCCTGTCAGTCACAGCAACACTAGCCAATCATAGGTATCTGTCAGCTCATATATGCGGAAGAGGGCAGATCTTTCCTCTGCTTTCCCTGGTGTATGTTACACTGCCCTGTGATGCAGCATAAGCCACAGTTTGAAAAGATGTGGTTAGAAAGCATGTATTAACCCTCACCCTCCCCATCTGGTAGCTGTTGTATGATAAGGAAGAGCTGGCTGGCTGATGGGTGGGAATTGGCAAGTGACCAAGATAGGGGGGAAATGGTGGGGTAAAAAAAACCATGGCTGTGAATATAACAGAACTACAGGATGTCTGTTGCAGGACATGTTCAGATGTTCAGTTCATACCTATATTATATTCATTACTGCTTTACCTAAATATGTGTTGCTCTGACTATGAGTTTGACTCTGAGTTCATATCATAGTCTTACCATATGTGCTCTGGTTTTCTATAGATCGATATGTGAGACAAACATGGAGACCGAGCTATTCACTCTGAGGGAGCGCAACGCTAAGCTTGTCACAGCGCTCCGTGAAGCCAACACCAGTATTGAACAGTGGAAGAGTCAGCTCGCTGAGTATCAGCAGGAGACGCACAGACTCCGAGACCAGGCCAGTTGTTTTCTTCTGCTTGATTTTGTTCACAGCAGACTCTTCATGGCCGTGTATCTTTGGCAAGCAGCACACCAGACTTGGCTGTTGTTCAGCCTACTTATAATGGAAGTCTAAAGACTGTTTCAGATTCTGTTGATGAACCCGACTGTATTACACACATTCAGAACTACAAAAAAAAAGTATAGTAAAAAGCAATTCTGAAGACTTTATGGTGTTTCTGAGTGTAATCAAGGAGACACAGAGGCACCTTCATGCTGGTAATGCGTAACCACAGATTCTTCCTTCTGAAAATGTAACCTCATCTCTGAATTAGCTTTAGACATATTTTGCACTTTATTTACAAATAAAGATGAGTGCTCACTCAGCTTATCCTTCAAACCATCAGCATGTTTTTTATGATTGCGGTGCAGTTGATTTATTTATTGATCTTTTTATGGTAGGTATTATTCCTGCTGCTTTCGTCCTGCAACTCTTTTCGAGTGACCTCTTACTTCTCTTACCTCCCTTATTGTTAATCTGAGCTGCCAGACATAAAAATATATATATAATTAAATAATAATAATAATAAAATGCTAAATAATAGGATTTGCTGGATCAAGTGCTATTTTATAAGCTTCTGAATAACGAGAGTGAAAGCCATATTGTAAAATTAAACCAAATTTGCAGTGATTAATGTGAAAATCACAACTAGGACTATTCATTCAGCAATATATTGGCGATATGCTACACTCCTATTAGATGTTTATGTCAATGCTTGCAATCTTCTTAATCATAATCATTGTGTCAGTTTTTAAAAATATTTTTAAATTGTCTTTTGCTTGTATGCTGCATTGTATTTGACAGCAAACAACAGTCCACATTTTCTCTCCCTGAATTTTTTCAAGCTTAAAGCCAAGTGCTTGTGTTTAAAGGCAGTGGTTTAGACACTGTTGAAAAACGCTGCTTCTACTCAAGAAATATCTGGCAACCTCAGAGAGGTGAACTGTACACAGCTAACTTGCGTAATCCGAATTGTACACCCAGACAGTCGACTTAAGTAGGTGCTTAACCCATCTCAGAATATGTGTAACTTTCCCCACATAAATTTTTGAACTTAATTCGCCTACTTTGAATGCGGCCCATGGTGCATAAAGGAAAACACAAGTAGGTGATGCTATGTAGTTCAGGTCTCATGGGAAATGTTGCAGGAGAACAATGTATCATCCTGACTGTAATGTAGGAAAAAGAAAAATGACTGTGGGGAACTTGGAGCTGTTAGTTTGTTCTAATATAAGCAGAAACATGATCAGTGCTCTAAAACCTGAGTGTGCTAAAAATGACCCTGTTTTTGCCTTGCTTCCAGGGTTTTTCAGCAACAGAGCAAAGATTTGTCACCTCTGAATTGGGCACACACTTAAGCTTTGGAAGAACTGTGTGTAGGTCATGGCAAGATTACTGTGTGAACTGTAAGGAGGGGGAAACAATTTAGAGACAGCGGCCAATGTGCAGGTTGTGCTTCAGAACTGCAAGGTTTCTGGGGTCATTGCTTGTGAAGGGACTTGACTGATGTGCTGCTAGTATGATAATAATATTTTATGGGGAAAGTGTTTTTTTTTTTTTGTTTTTTTTTTTTTAAAAAAGGTTGGAGAAGAGGAAGTGGATGATTTGTGAGGAAGTTATTCACGGTCGTCTCATTCTGGATTTCAGGTGGCCGAGCTGGAAGAGCAAAGTGGACATACTGCTTCATGTGAGAACAGGAACGAGGATCTCTACCAGTCTGTAGAAGATATGGAGGCCCTTCTAAAGGCTAAAGATGAAGTACGAGCATTCTTCATTTGTAGCACTCTATCTATTTTCAAAGAAAATGTGAGCATATTTATAAGCATCTTCACGGTTTATAAGATCACTCTGCACATATCGTAGTCATTACAGTAATTTGAATGTTGTGAAGCAACACTGCTACATAGCCTCCTTGCTGCTTTGTCGACAATTTGTTTGCATTTATTTAAACTATATCTTTGTTTGAGATAAAATACTATTATTTAAAAAAAGTAATTCTAGTGAGAATAATTTTTGTTACAACAAAGAAAGATAAATAGTTTCTCACTGATCGAGTGGGAAATTTGTATTATTGTGTGTAATGTTTTTATTTTTATGGGGGTGCCAATAATTTGGTACTTTAGGTGCTACTTGAGCAATAGCTCTCCCTTGTGGAGAATCTTCAGCTTGCTAAATGTGACTGAGTGTGTGAGATACAGATCCAGGGCAATCATTTTTTAACAGTGCCTGCTCACAGATTTGTGTGTATGGAGTGTGATATCCAAGAGTGATCAAAAGCAATGTTTGGATACAATTGCCTTTAATTTTAGACAAAGCTTTCAGGTTTAGCTATATGGAAGACATAAGGAATTGTTATTTTATTATTTAATTACTGCTTTTTTTTGTACATTTTGCAAAGCAGTCCATTTCTGTCAGAAAACATTTGGATAAATATATGCTTGCAGGAAATTAACAAGCTACAGGGCAGGAAATCAGATTTCCAGGATTTGGAGAAGGAGAGGGAGGGGATTAACAAAAGAATGCAGGTAAGCTTGAGCTTCTTTGTTAATAACCCTTCTTGGTGCAGCAGGGAAGTTGATT